ATAGAACACTTAACCATGTAATTCTGTTAACATTACATGGTTATGCATGAGAACATAAATTTGGCCGGGGCGTCGCAAGTCCATCTACGACACGTCGCAAGTTACGACACATGTCCCGTCGCAAGTTGTGTCGTAGCGAAAAAGGAGGGATGTTGAGGAAAGAGGGGTTTGTCGGAGGATACGACAGAACGTAGCTACGACGAGGCTTAAATACCCGCTTTACTCGAGAATTTAACCCGCGCACCGACGGGGGGGGGCGGATATCCGCCCCCCTGAGGTTTTTCGCGAATAGCGGGAAAACCGTGGCGCGTAGCGCCGCGAAATTTGGTATGACTATTCCCTTATCAATTTTACACATGGTGTGCAAGTTTGAACCTCCTACCTTTCAAGGTCAGGTCACCAGGTCACTTTGAATGACCCAACCTCAAGTCACTTTTTTGCAACTTTGTCACCGTGCCAGAGCTACAGTAGATGTCGGAGGCCTTTGAAAGTCGCAGGATGTTATTAGGTCATTAGTAGCTACAATTTGTATATCTCGGAATTTTGATATCGGTGACCTAAGGTCAGGTCAATTTCGCGACCTCCCCATTATAAGTCAATGGGGGAAAAATCAACTCCCTGTTTTTACCACTAAAACGGGTCGGAATGGCCCCATATACCATACATGACTTCATATACGATCAACCTTCACTACCTTGAGGTCTGTTTTGCTGTTGGGCAGCTGTGAGGTCATGTGACGTCATCAAAGGTCACCAAAGGTTTTTGGCCAATAACTCCGTACAGGAACAAGATACAGACGCGTGGATGGTCTCATTGTGTTCAGCTCGTCAAGACGCATCGAATGATATACATGATGACCTCGAGGTCACGTGACCTGAGGTCAACCTTTGACCTTGACCTTTCGAGGTCAACATATATCATTCGATGCGGATTGACGAGAGGATCACGATGAGGCCCTTAGTTTGTTCCTATCTCGACTAATTCGAAAGTTATTCGAGAAAAACTATCTCCATATTTAGCGCCGCCATTTTGACTTTTTCGACCCCTGTGACGTCATTTGACCTGACCTGAAAATGACCTTAGTAAAAATTGTAGATCTTGACCGTGCGTATCCGATGCCGTTTACCGCTTGTCGCTATCTTGCTTCGTTCTCGAGATCTCAGGGGGGGGGCGGTCATCCGCCCCCCCCCCCGTCGGTACTAAGTTGGCGCAGACCCCCGTCGGTGCGCGGGTTAAAAGGCTACACGATCAGCTGATCCCGTAGTAAACGTCAGTAAGGTCGAAAACTCTATCACGCATAACGGAACATTCGCCTTTCTGGTTTGAGAGCTTATGAGACAGCCAGGTCAAGCATGTTCTCTGATTCTGAAGCTTTGTCTCAACTGGGTGACTTGTGATCGCTAACGCTCACATAATTTGCCATAAAATTTGGGGTCGATCACAGGAGATTCGTGGCTAAAGAGCATCTAGAAGCTATGCTTTAGAAGAAATGAGTTCAGAGAGTTTGAAGTCACAGAGAGGTAAGAGAGTTGAAGTTGGAGGTCACAATTGGAGGTTACAGAGGTCATCTGGGACACGTCAGGTCACAGAAGTCAACTTGGGGACAGTCAGGTCACAGAGGTTAACTTTGGGTCATCACAGAGCTCAATTGGAGGTCAACTGGGACACGTCAGGTCACAAGAGTCAGCTTGGGGTCATCAAAGAGCTCAATTGGAGGTCACGGAGGTCATCTGGGACACGTCAAGTCACAGAGGTCAACTTGGGGTCATCACAGAGCTCAATTGGAGGTCATATGGGTCATCTGAGATACGTCAGGTCACAGAGGTCAACTTGGGGGTTATCACAGAGCTCTATTGGAGGTCATGGGGTCATATGAGACACGTCAGGTCACAGAGGTCAACTTGAGGTCACCACAGGGCTCAATTGTAGGCCATCTGGGGACACTTCAGGTCACAGAGGTCAACTTGGGGTCATCAGAGACCTCAATTTGAGATCAGCTGGGACACGTCAGGTCACAGAAGTCAGCTTGGGGTTATCAGAGGTCACTTAGAGGTCATAGAGGTCATCTGGGACACGTCAGGTCAGAGAGGTCAACTTGGGGTCATCACAGAGCTCAATTTGAGATCATCTGGGACACGTCTGGTCACAGAGGTCAGCTTGGGCTCATCACAGAGCTCAATTGGGACACGTCAGGTCACAGAGGTCAGCTCGGAGTCATGAGAGAGCTCAATTGGAGGTCATATAGGACTCGTCAGGTCACAGAGGTCAACTTGGGGTCATCACAAAACTCGGAAGTCATCTGAGACACGTCAGGTCACAGAGGTCAGCTCGGAGTAATGAGAGAGCTCAATGGGAGGTCACGGAGGTCATCTGAGACACGGCAGATCACAGAGGTCAACTGGGGTCATCACAGAGCTAAATTGGAGTCATGGGGGCCATCTGAGACACGTCGTTTTTGGAATTGGGAGAATCTTTTGGGGGATGCCCCTCGCAACGTCCAAGATCGCCTTTCTGGACTCGCCAGTAGTTGCTGGAATGATATAAGGCTGCTTTGTATCCCTGAATACCCCAATGAATTTGAATATAACATATTATGCACCATTTTTAACACTCGCTGGCACGGATTGAGGCCTCACAGATGACCCGTCGGTTCAAGCTCTATAACTCGCGTTAGCGTCAACGGATTGTAACCAAATTTTAACTCAAGTTCAAACAATTTTACACTAACCATGTAAATTTCGTGACCATGGCCCGAATGACCTGTGACCTGTGACCTCTTCCTCAAAGCAAGGTTAGCTTACGACACAACTTACGACTGCTATTTCAAATTCGTAAGTTGTGTCGCAAATCAGGCAACTTGCGACAGGCTTTACTACTTAAAGGGACTATCCCACCTTTAACATGGGGTTTGAGTTGAGATAGCCAAGTTTGCGGCGAGGTTCAGAAACCTATATCTATCTAGGTTGCAACCCCCGCGGCCTCCTGGTGTTGAAGAAATTCGTTCCCTTCATTTGAAAATGGGCCTTGTACAAGGCCCTATCTTCAACATGGAGCGACCGTTAGTGTGACGTCACCTCGTTTAGTCGTTCTGATTTAAATGGGTTTGTTCGTTGAAAAATCGCTTAAAACTTGGTCTGAACTTTGTTGTGGTGCCTACAAAGTAAAAAGAATCTGCTTTATGACAGTAATGTGGCCTGGGGAAGGAGGTAATTTTGGGCTGTGACGTCACATATTTGAAAGTTTGTGTTTGGAATATGGGAAGTCTAAGATGTTTAATGAAAAATAAATGCCAGAACCGTGTTCCTGGTCATCCAATCTATAAAGTCGGGCACAATTTAACTGGTTTTAATAACATTTTAGAAGGTGGGATAGTCCCTTTAAGTAACGCTACTCATCGATTGATCCCTCCAAAAACGACTTACTACACAACTTGCGACACGTCGCAGTTACGACGAGGCTTACGACGCTCTGGATTCCTCCGGCCAAAAAGATCTTTTCGCTTCATGTCTTGTTAAAGATTTTGAGTTTGTCGTTTCGTTAGCACGACGTCCCCTAAACCTGCACCTGTCTACTGCTTTTTTTTTGCCACCCCGAACAAGAACGACTGAGGAGGGGGGGGGGGCTTGATACGACCCCACTTACGTTTCGCTCCCATGGAACTAAAACAGCAAATTTTCATGGGAAAGGGGCTCATGAGTCCTCGCTCCCTAACTACATCAATATTTAGAGGGTTTGCATGATAAAAGCCAGCATTAAAAATAAAAATGGCGCTTTTCAGCACGAAACGCTACGTGTCTCGAAAAAAAAACATAAAAGCTAGAACAATTAAGATAGCATTCGATAACTTAGAACAAGCCCTATCGAGCTTTATCAAAATATTTTGTCTCAATACGTTAAGCTCAAGATTTCACCAAAGGAGACGCAGTGAGTGTTGCTTAAATACTTTTTTGCATATGACATTTCATATGTAACAGATTTAGCAAAATTGCAAACGAGGCCGAGGGTAGACGAGGTTGGGTGGCGGGCGGCGCTTCACGCCGCCATCGAGCTGCTATTGCAAAAAAAAAAAATCGCCCATGGGTCGGATTCCCTCCCTCCTCAGACGGACGTGAGTAAAGGCATTCTCGCATGGACAATGCAGTTATTGAGCGATACGCTTATTATCCTGCATCGATCGCAGTGCTTCAATAAATGCATATGAACTCACCTATGCAATTGCCCTCCCACTATAAAACTTCAGGCCGGACTATAGTCTGTTCCATATCAAGCTTGCGGTCGGAGTCCCCTTGGCAGTTCCAGGCAATTCGCTGAGCGCGCTACTCCATTCAATAATTTGAGTCTTAGAATGTAAGATGTATGCACAGAAATCACGCACTGCCTTCAACAGAGCACTTCAGCCGCAAGCTTGACATGGAACACACTATAGATGTAGTGAATGCGCCTCACCTCCTTCATCGTCCTCTTGGCGATCATCAGCCGGACCGCCCTCATTTTCAGAGCCTGGCTCGTCGAAGTCCTCTGAAAAACCGTCTCTGTCAGATTTAAGAATATGTGTGATGCAAAATAAGTGCCTGCCATAATGGGCAAGCATTTCTGAAAAAAAAACGCTGAACGGAACATATGTGCTACGGTGGTACCCGGACTGCTTTGGCTATCCGCGCTCGTCCTTAATCTGAAGTACAGCACCATGGGTCTGCATATAACCTAGTAGTACCAGTGAACTTTAACGGTCTTACATTGCCTTCGCTCTGTACGATTCTCTTCATGGTGTTATTGCATTGCCTCTTTAACACTACATTGCAAATTAATGCTTTAACTGCATGAAATGTCTGCTAAAATGACAGACGAATGGTGATGTTACGATTAGCACATGTACAAACGATTAGTTACCTTCAGTGAGCATCTCCTCCAGGCTCCGTCCGCTATATTTTGAGAGGCATCCTTCGTCCAGCTTCATCATCAGGATGGAGGCACGCGTCAGTTCGTGAGTAGCGTCTGACAGTCTGTAGTACCCACGATGCACGTCTTTGTCATGTCCCATGTGCCGGGTGAGCACCTCCATATCGAATTCACCCATCTCTAGAATCTGGGACGTTGTAGCACAATATTTCCGTAGTTTTGTTGCATGGAAGAGATCTGCCCTGTTTAGTGCCATGTCCGACAACTGCTCTTTAAGCACCACGCCTGCGTTGTAGTGTCCTGTAGTCCTCGCCAGAGGGTTTGCGAACAGATACTTGTTATCCTTGTCAATGTACGTCTCCCGGTTGTCTACCAGTAGCTGCAGCGGAGCCGCGCAGTCGCTCGGTATCAGGGTGGGGACCTTGTTCCCGCACTTGCCGCGGGACATGACGACGTCGAGCTCGTTGAACAACTTCTTTTCTGTTTCACCCATTGACTTGTTCACTTCTTCTACCGTCTCTTGTTTGTACATCTCTCGGTTGATCCATGATTGCAGCAGGATGCTGCTAAGCTCCTTAGGACGGCGTTTGTTGAATACTAGCAAACGGGCGAGAACCGCTTTGCTCAGCCTTGCATAGTCTGTCATGCCATGTATTCCCTTTTCTGTCATTTCTTTCACTCGTTCCTTCATTTTTTCGGTGAAAAGCTTCAAATCGCTGGTAAAGGGCAGCATGTCTTTCTTGTCATACTTGTTCGACTCGCGGTTCTTCAGCGCTACGCTGCTGATCTTCACATTCCAGAATTGGTCCACGTGATACAAGAACGCCTCAGCATCTTTCACTTCGCTTTCTTCTTTCTTGATCAGCGCAATGCCCTTCTTGAGAGCAGCCAGCTGTCGTAGTTCGCCTCCAATCCGCATGGCCTTTGAAGGAGTTTTGTATGTGGGCAGCCCCGTGTGGGCGTTTAGCTTGTCCTGCTCAAACCCACAGACGGATTTGGTGGCACTTACAACCGTATCAAATCCTTCGCCATTGATCAGCTCTTGCATGCTCTTTCCGGCTGCTTGGACAACTTCGCCCATCATCCTTAGGCGCTGGCTTATCTGCGCAAAACCCGACCTTCCAAGTTTCGCGTGCAAGTTGGCACCCCACTTCTTCAGGAGTTCATCGTTCTTTATGGTCTTCGTAACTGCATCGTCGTGCATACGAGACAATATGTCCTTGTGATACCCAGTATTTTCTTCTTGGCCGTCACTCAGGAGCGTCCGGCTCTCTGCCAGCACCGTGGGAATGTCTGGGCATTCTGTTTTGCGAGCCACACAGTGATGTTTTATGTGCTGCATCATGTTGGTTTTAACCACAAAAAGATAGCAGTAAGGACATGGCACGTAGTCGTCCACGGACGCCTGGTCCGACTTCCTTCCCAAGATCATGTCACCTTCACCCCTTTGTAGGACGAGTTTGTTGTGCTCCATGTTGCCTTTGTTGATCATCACGGTGATTTTCATTTTTCGTTCCTGCTCAGAATCACACTCCTGTATATCCTTGACTTCCTTCTCGTCACGGTGGACCGTCTTGATATGGCGCCATATCAGATTTCTCTTTTGCTTGCAATATATGCAAACATTTTTTTTCCGCACTTCGCCGCACGATGCGCCGTTCCTCGCCGACTGAGATGTACGCGACTGAGAACTGTGCTGGGGCGGAGCCACCTCAACACCGTCGCTGACATCAGACTCAGCTCCCTGTTCTCCGTATTCGTTCTCCTCCAAATGGTGGTTCTCGGGAGCCGTGATCTCTGTTTGATTGCACATCAAGTGCTCAGGAAAAGTCCATGTGCCATGGTCCCCTGCATCCTGGACTGAAGCCCTCGAAGTAGAGCAGGTGGGTGACATAAGGTCGTACTCGCTTGCAGAGAACGGCGTCATGTCGATCAGTTCAGTTGGCAGTGCTGTTGAATAAGAGGTTTTTACTGACCCACAAACTCCCGTCTCAGAGGTAGGTGGGGAAACACGAGACGGGGCTCCAACCGTCGCCCCAGTAGTTGTACACAGATGAAGAGCATCCCATCTTCTAGCGTCCGGGGTCGGGACGGGCGGCAGGCCTCCAGCCGCAGTCTCGGAAGTCGCACGCAGATGACGGGCATCAGCCCGCCTTCCCGCTTCAGAGGTCGGGACGGGCGGCGGGGCTCTGGCCGCAGTCTCAGAAGTCTCACGCAGATGATGAGCACCCCACCTTCTAGCGTCCGCGGTCGGGACGGGCGGCGGGCCTCCGGTCGCAGTCTCAGAAGTCTCACGCAGATAAAGAGCATCCCACCTTCCAGCGTCCGGGGTCGGGACGGGCGGCGGGGCTCCGGTCGCAGTCTCAGAAGTCTCACGCAGATGAAGAGCATCCCACCTTCTAGCGTCCGGGGTCGGGACGGGCGGCGGGCCTCCGGTCGCAGTCTCAGAAGTCTCACGCAGATGAAGAACATCCCACCTTCCAGCGTCCGGGGTCGGGACGGGCGGCGGGCCTCCGGTCGCAGTCTCAGAAGTCTCACGCAGATGAAGAGCATCCCACCTTCCAGCGTCAGAGGTCGGGACGGGCGGCGGGGCTCTGGCCGCAGTCTCAGAAGTCTCACGCAGATGATGAGCATCCCACCTTCCAGCGTCCGGGGTCGGGACGGGCGGCGGGCCTCGGTCGCAGTCTCAGAAGTCTCACGCAGATGATGAGCATCCCATCTTCCAGCGTCAGGGGTCGGGACGGGCGGCGGGCCTCCGGTCGCAGTCTCAGAAGTCTTACGCAGATGAAGAGCATCCCACCTTCCAGCGTCAGAGGTCGGGACGGGCGGCGGGGCTCTGGCCACAGTCTCAGAAGTCTCACGCAGAGATGAGCATCCCATCGTTCTAGCGTCAGAGGTCGGGACGGGCGGCGGGGCTCCGGTCGCAGTCTCAGAAGTCTCACGCAGATGAAGAGCATCCCACCTTCCAGCGTCCGGGGTCGGGACGGGCGGCGGGGCTTCCGGTCGCAAGTCTCAGAAGTCTCACGCAGATGAAGAGCATCCCACCTTCCAGCGACCGGGGTCGGGACGGGCGGCGGGGCTCTGGCCGCAGTCTCAGAAGTCTCACGCAGATGAGAGCATCCCACCTTCCAGCGTCCGGGGTCGGGACGGGCGGCGGGGCTCCGGTCGCAGTCTCAGAAGTCTCACGCAGATGAAGAGCATCCCACCTTCTAGCGTCCGGGGTCGGGACGGGCGGCGGGCCTCCGGTCGCAGTCTCAGAAGTCTCACGCAGATGAAGAGCATCCCACCTTCCAGCGTCCGGGGTCGGGACGGGCGGCGGGGCTCCGGTCGCAGTCTCAGAAGTCTCACGCAGATGAAGAGCATCCCACCTTCCAGCGTCAGAGGTCGGGACGGGCGGCGGGGCTCCGGTCGCAGTCTCAGAAGTCTCACGCAGATGAAGAGCATCCCACCTTCTAGCGTCCGGGGTCGGGACGGGCGGCGGGCCTCCGGTCGCAGTCTCAGAAGTCTCACGCAGATGAAGAGCATCCCACCTTCCAGCGTCCGGGGTCGGGACGGGCGGCGGGGCTCCGGTCGCAGTCTCAGAAGTCTCACGCAGATGAGCATCCCACGTTCTAGCGTCAGAGGTCGGGACGGGCGGCGGGGCTCTGGCCGCAGTCTCAGAAGTCTCACGCAGATGATGAGCATCCAACCTTCCAGCGTCCGGGGTCGGGACGGGCGGCGGGCCTCCGGTCGCAGTCTCAGAAGTCTCACGCAGATGAAGAGCATCCCACCTTCCAGCGTCCGGGGTCGGGACGGGCGGCGGGGCTCCGGTCGCAGTCTCAGAAGTCTCACGCAGATGAAGAGCATCCCACCTTCCAGCGTCCGGGGTCGGGACGGGCGGCGGGCCTCCGGTCGCAGTCTCAGAAGTCTCACGCAGATGATGAGCATCCAACTTTCTAGCGTCCGGGGTCGGGACGGGCGGCGGGCCTCCGGTCGCAGTCTCAGAAGTCTCACGCAGATGAAGAGCATCCCATCTTCCAGCGTCCGGGGTCGGGACGGGCGGCGGGCCTCCGGTCGCAGTCTCAGAAGTCTCACGCAGATGAAGAGCATCCCACCTTCCAGCGTCCGGGGTCGGGACGGGCGGCGGGGCTCCGGTCGCAGTCTCAGAAGTCTCACGCAGATGAAGAGCATCCCATCTTCTAGCGTCCGGGGTCGGGACGGGCGGCGGGGCTCCGGTCGCAGTCTCAGAAGTCTCACGCAGATGAAGAGCATCCCATCTTCTAGCGTCCGGGGTCGGGACGGGCGGCGGGGCTCCGGTCGCAGTCTCAGAAGTCTCACGCAGATGAAGAGCATCCCACCTTCCAGCGTCAGAGGTCGGGACGGGCGGTGGGGCTCTGGCCACAGTCTCAGAAGTCTCACGCAGATGAGCATCCCACGTTCTAGCGTCAGAGGTCGGGACGGGCGGCGGGGCTCTGGCCGCAGTCTCAGAAGTCTCACGCAGATGATGAGCATCCAACCTTCTAGCGTCCGGGGTCGGGACGGGCGGCGGGCCTCCGGTCGCAGTCTCAGAAGTCTCACGCAGATGAAGAGCATCCCACCTTCCAGCGTCAGAGGTCGGGACGGGCTGCGGGGCTCCGGTCGCAGTCTCAGAAGTCTCACGCAGATGATGAGCATCCCACCTTCTAGCGTCCGGGGTCAGGACGGGCGGCGGAGCTCCGTCCATCGCATGGGTAGCCGGTCGCAGCTCATGAGTCGTCATAGTCAAGTCAAGTCCAGGATATTTGTGGTATACATGATACTCAGTGGTGTGAGGAGGGGTTTCATCCACGCGGCCGGCTGACCCAGGAGATGAAGGGAGGACTTCTGGAAAGAAAAGATATGGCAACGCATAAGGAAGCATGGCGGTAGGAGGATGAATGCTGTCTTGATTTTTTAACCATCACCAGTGATTCGGCGAGTGATTTTAAAATGTAGGATCAGGTAGTGAGCCAAAAAAAGAACAATGTCTAAAGAAAAACCAGAAAAACGATTGAATTATGATGTGTTGATTAGCATAGATACAAGTAGATTTGGGTGGACTGAGTAACTGGTAACAACACAAATGTAGGCACCATAGTCACGTCTTACCTCGTCCATTTTTACGTGAGTGACGCTGCGCGCCTTTATGTCTGCCACGGGAGTGGAGAGCAGCAAGCAGCATCCTCTTCCCATATGATCCAGCTATGCGCCCTGTCAAATATTGATAGCTATTAGCTAACATAAAATACTAAAGGAAGTTTCCCAGCCAGCAATTGGTTTGGCTCAAGTCCGTTTTGCCCTAGCGACTCCGGCACGCCAGATTTGGGCCGGTGTAAACGGAACGCCGTCGGAATAAGAGTTTGGGTCGATATGGCTCTATTCCGGTTAACCAGTCTTTGCCGTAGCGTTCCGGAGCTAGTATGGCTTCGGACCGACAAGTCCGGCCGGCACTAGCGAGCGGTGGCCTGACCTGACCTTGCCGGAGGGGCCGTGACGTCACCGGCGGGCGGTCAGAGCGAGTCGGCAGAGCCTCACTCTACGCGGCCCGAGCGAGCAGTGAGGATCGGTGAATAGGACATAGGGGAGGGAGGGGAGGGGAGGGGAGGGAGGGGAGAGAGAGAGAGAGAGAGAGAGAGAGAGAGAGAGAGAGAGAGAGAGAGAGAGAGAGAGAGAGAGAGAGAGAGAGAGAGAGAGAGAGGCGGCCGGCCAATAATTAGGCAGCCAACACTGAGTTGAATGAAGCACACGATGCTGACAACGTTACGGAGTTAACTATAAGATAATGTCATGCGTTTAATGTGATTGGATTTTTCACTTAAATGCTTTCTTCCTTTGTGACCCACAACCCCTAATTTGGGGAGGACAAGCTGCCCCAACGGTTCCTGACCTTATGAAAAGTTGTGGGGCACCGCCCCCACGGCCCCAGAGTTGTGGGGGCTAGCTGCCCCACTGCCCCCGGTTCCCGCGCCTATGTATGAATCTATGAAATTATGTTGGTATATTTCCGATTTCGATCCCTCCAGTTGGAGGGGCTCAAATACCTTACGAGCCCCCCTTCCCAGCCGAAAAGTTGGAGGGGCTCAGCACCCCCTAGCCCCCCCCCCCCGGCTCCCGCGCCACTGCCCCCCCCCCCCCCAAGGCAAATCATGGGCATCATAGCATTTATTGCCCCCCCCCCAAACTAACCGATGAGCCCCCATGGGGGTATGGGGCCCTGGCCCTTATTCGATTATCACGAGGCTCAAGAAACACACGCCAGCTATTCGCACAGCTCCCATACCGGTCTTTGAGGGTCCTACAATGACCTCTGAGGGTCCCTCAGTGGCGGTCATGCGCCCACCTTGACCGCTGAGCCCCCAGCATGACATTAAAAACTCAGACCACCAGCACGGCGCAGGTTAATAGCATCTGCAAATTTGAGCACTCTACTAAGCTATGCCTTCGTCGATTGTATTTACATAAATTTTGAACATGAGACCTAATACAGCTCTGAGGAACCCCAATCAGAACATTTTTCCCACCTTGCCCTTCACCCATTTAGCACTATACGCTGCTGGCGTCCTGTCAACCGGGTCTAGTATATTCCCCTTCATGCCTTGCAGCTTCAATTGCAATACTATCCTTATGTGTGGTACTTTATCAAACGCATTATTGAGGTCAAGGTATGCTACCTACATCAAACTGCTTTCTTTGCCAAAAGTGTTTGTAGGTATCTGTCGCAGCTTCAAAAAAGTCTAGGTTAAACATAAACAGCCTTTATTTAACTCATGCTGGATATTGCCTATCACACTGTTTTCATCCAAAGATTCTACCACTTTCCCCTAGATTATGGATTCCAATATTCTGCAAACCAAGGAATACTTCGACAGTGACTGTAACTCACCTCGTTTGGTATCCATCTGTGATTGGATAGTGGAGACTGACGCCAACCTGAAAACAAGTGTTATTGGCAGTCAAGGTGTGAGAGGTGCATACACTAAATATTGCCGCTTGTATCATTGAAACTTTTACATCCGTCCGCCCGCTCATTGCCAGCAACACCAACATGACTAGGGATCCAGCAAAAAGTGATTGATGTTCCCTCTCGGTCGAGGGCTGTCAGACGGAGAAGAATCTCCTGTACGAGGAGGTCGGTCGAATAGAATTGTGTCAAGGCCTGGAGACCACTCAATGAGTCAGATGGGCTCCTATGTAGCCACACTTATCTCCATAAAGGACCAATGCGCCGGTTTCTGAGAGACCTTGCCGGCTTCTGAGGGCCCTAGTAACGGCCAA